GATCCAGAACGCCACAAGAGCAGGTTGACGATTTGGTGCCAGAATCACCAGAAGACCAAATAGACGCCCATCAGAAGAAACGAAGAAGGAGCTCTGCACTCCCAGCCGCAAACTATGGCGACAACGATGATGCTACGATGGCATCGTCAATATACAGCTCCGACTCGGAGCCCGCCGATGCTGTGGAAGAAATTCAAGATGACGAACAAGAGGAGGACTCCAACTCGGATGATGACTCCGACGTGGACGACGGCACGATGATGACGGTCGAGGACCACGAGGTCACTGGCGCATCGGTCATGTCTGCCATGTCTGGTCGCTCAGGGTCGTCGACCGGCGACAGTGACACACTGGAAGAAGCACTTCGTATGGCAGCGCGCACGGCTGGCACCCAGAGACTGGGCCTCGACGACTCGGAGGGCGAAGAAGAAGTCATTCCATCATTTGGTTGGATCAAGAAGAACTCCGACAAGAGTGAAGCGCCTCAAGATCAAAAGCATGCAGGCCACGAGCCGCCATCGCCCCCGGCTGACAATGATGACGAAGACGACGGCGCTATGGAGATGGACATGGAAATGACCCAAGCTGTGGGCGGCATCCTTCCCTCGCCAGATGACGAACAGGACGACGGAGAGCTCGACATGTCCATGGATGTAACTCGCGCCATTGGTGGAATTTTATCGCAACCTAGGGACGAAAATGCCAATCCATACGAGCATGGGGAAGAAGGCGAGGAAACAATGCAAATGGACGAGACCATGGAAGTTACCAAAGCTCTCGGGGGTATTCTGAGGAGTGTGCCAGATCTCGAACCAGACGAGAATGAAGACATGTCAATGGAGTTCACAACAGCCATCGGCGGCCTGATTCCGGCACGTAACACCGACCAGGCCACTGCTACGCGGCGCAGAACCATGACTTCAGCCAACAGCAAGAACCTGGATGACGACACCATGGACATGGATATGACTGTTGGTGTTGGTCGAATCTTGCCATCTGCGACTGGGGCCCGAGGTCAGGATGACGGAAATGCTACAGTCGGCATGGATATGACCATTGGTGTTGGGCGTATCTTGCCAGCTGCCAGCAACGACGAAGACAACGTGGAACAAGACCAGACTATGGGCATGGAAATGACTGCCGCCATTGGCAGTATTCTCAAGGCTCCTCATGTGCCAGAGTCCCGCAGCGAGGCCAAGAAGTTCATGGAAGAGGAGGTCGACAAGCCAGATTCGCCTTCAAAAGCCGGATCAATAGGTGTTCCCCCCAAATCCCCAGCACAACGGCTTGCCGATTCAACTAAGCCAACAATCATGTCGGCTCTAGGAACTCCTGAGACAAACCCTTTCACTGGCAGCGCTCTTCGACGCAGCATGCCACGTCCAGGGACAGCGACGCCGCAATCCTCTCCTCTAAGAACCACGCCAAGCCCGCAAAAGTCGACCGCGCAGTCGCGAGCGAGAGCGAGGTCGAAATCGGCGTCGCCGACAAAAGCCACGCCGTCTCCATTTAAGCCAGTCTCATCACCTACGAGGACTCCGCAATCGCGAACGAAGCAGCTTGGCCGCTCAAGGCTACCAGACAGCAAGCCGGCAACCCCTTCGCCTGTGAAATCGGCCAAAAAGAACCTAGACGTTTTCCAGCAAGACCCCAGCACTGGGGCTAGGACGCCGTTGGTTGTTTTGACGCCACAGACGCGCCGTCTGTCCGGCGTGGGTGCCGACAGAGCTGGCTTGGGATCACCCAAAGTGGCTGCCATCTTCGACCGTCGGGAGTCGTTGAGTGATGCTACTCAGGCATTTGTGCCTGGCCAGAACCGTGGCGTTTCCTTCGCAAATCCCCGCGTCATGGAATTCGAAGTCGACAACGACCGCGAGGAGGAAGAGGAGAAGGAGAATCAACGTAAGATTCTTGAGCGCGAGGTTGACGGTCAAGACGATAGGGAGGCTACGCTCAACCTCAAAGAAATGATCCAAAGCATGAGCCCAATGAGGAAGCCCTTGAAGGGCCGTAAGAGTCTTCATGTCGGTAGCGCAAAAGGTCTTCTCGGCAAGCGACCATTTGAGTTATCAGACGACGAAGAGGCTGAAGAGGATGATGGTGTCAAAAGACTTAAGAATCACCAGGGGAGCCCGGTCAAGAACGTGAGGCTTCAACAGCCCCCCAGCAAAGCCGAGACAACTGGCCGACGATCGCTACGATCGTCTCAAAAGAGCCTTGAAGATTCAACACAGGAGCATCAAACACCCACCCTGACGGTGCTGTCGTCGAGGAATGGTGGCAATGCCACGACCCCGAGAGGACAGACCCGGTTCAAAGATGTCGAAGATGACACGGCAACCCATCCGATGGACTTTGAACGATCGCCCGTCAAAGATGAGTCGTCTTTGCAGACTGACCAAGGCGAAGATCGCATCCACCTCCAAGAATTTCTCAACATGACATCGATTCGCTTCATGGAACTGACGACAACGAAGCGGCGCCACACCCAGGCGCCCGAGGCCTTCAAGGATGGGCTGATTGACGATGAAGGCAACTTTCCTCTGGAGCGATGCGTCGTCGCCGGTGCCTGCACTGTTCCGATGCTGGAGCTTTATCAGCATTCCTGCCGTGAGCTCAAAAAATACATTTCCGAAGGACGGAGGATTGTTCGCGAGATCGAAACAGAGACTTTTGAAGACAACCCGCCATTGTTCCGAGAGTACATGTCTGCGACGCCAGACATCAAGAATGTGCTTGACAACCAGTTCAAGAATGGCAAGTCGCATGCCCGACTTGAGAGCAAGGCGATGTGGTATGCCTGGCGTACAGCGCTCCAGGACGGTCTCAAGGAGGGCCTCATCAGAATAGCAGAAGGCATGGATGCCGACGACAAGGTGCTTGAGCAGCAACAGAAGCTCCTGTCCTCCATTCTTCCAAGCCTCATCTCTCGATTTGATGTGCTCAACGAAGAGCGAATAAACCTCGAAGCTGTGGCACAGGAGCTGGCCGACTGCGACCCATCCGAGCTCGAGGCTGTTCGATCCGAGCTCACAGATGTCGATAGTGACATGGAGAAGAAGACGAAGCAGATTGTGCAACTCCGAGCGCAGCTGGAGGAATCAGCAGCAACTGTGGAGCAGCTCACTGCCCGCAAGCGGGCATGGCAAGAGGAGATTGAGGAGGCCGAGAAGATTCGCGAGGAATGTCGCGGCTGGTCGACCAGTGAGATTTCTACACTCAAGGGTTAGTTTTGAATGTTGCTCTCATGGCTGTTCCTCATGCTAACCATGTCACCAGCTCGAGTTGATGCCATTGAAAAGCAGCACGGCTGGGCCATCTCCGGCATTGTCGACACAACAGTCTCCATGACGTACCAACGAAGCATCGAACTTGTCTTTGACATATCTGCCTTCGGTAACACCCAAGGCAAGAACTCGCAAATCGACCTTTGGTACATCGCGACCAATGGCGACGGTAGCCCACGAACTTCTTCGGTGGAACAGGAATTCTTCGTGCAGTGCATCCGCGACCATGTGCGGGGTCTCCCGCAGAGCCGCACTAAGATTGTCGACTTGCTTCATGTGATCCGTGCGGCATGGGACAGAGCCGTCTCCACTTGCGACGACATCCGACGCGTCAACATGACCTTTCCCACGTCCGTCACGCGCACCTCTGATTCTTCCATCTCTGTGTGCTCGTCGCTTCTGCTGACGGCCATTGAGACGAGAGTCGAGATTATGCTTGGTCTGCGCGGTGTGAGCACCTCTGATGGACTCGACTTTGTCATCCAGCCTGACGCAAGAGTCGTATATGGAGAGACATTCAATACAGGCAAGGTGGGAGAATTCCTTACCACGCACTTGGGTGAGAAGGTTGTCGACAGGTTGGCCGACTCCCCCTCGTGGAGTGATGTGGTCGTTGATCTTCATGAGCGCCTGATTGCTAGGGGCAGGAAGTAAATTTGGGTGGAGCGTATGGTTCAGGACGGGATACCCTTTGATGAATTAATGACGGAAATGGTATTGCGTTTAAGGGGTTTCGAGCGCGGCTGGGTCAACTTTCTTAAGTTTCTGAACCTTCAACATGGAGCAAGGCAGTTTGTTTCGAATGCGTGGATACGTGCGCTTACCTCATGACATCCGATTTGACTACATGACCCTGACGTCCATGGTTTCTAGATGCCAGCAGCGAGGCTGACGTTGGTCAATCTATCAATCGCTCAGCTCCCTCATGACGACTTCGTACTGTGCATGATAAGCCCTGCCCGTCACACTCACAAGATTCCGGTTGCACGCTCGCCACGACAGTCTATGATGGAGCTGGCTAGGCTAAGTGGCCGAAAGTACTGCCTGCTCACATGATAGAAGACCGCAGCCTTTGAAATACCTCTTGGCAGAACTCAACGGAGTCCAGAGACGCTACACTCAAGGCCAGTGGATGAGGTTTATCAACGACCATCATGCCAAGAACATATAATGCAAACTCGAAGGCATACAGTGAAAGGGCAAGGAAATTTGGTGGTAGCAAAGAAAGGCGGTATCGTATGCATAAGGTAGCTCGGAACGGCGCGGGACGTCTCGTTAGCCGTCGGAAGACCAAACGCCGCATAACCTCATACCAAATACTATTCCACATCTTCAAGGTTGGAAAAAATTCATCCTGCTCTTGCCTCCTGACCTCGTCGAGCCCACGACGGACCCCTTACCAACCAGGCTGCAATGTAGTGAGAACAATTCGATAACATTTTCAGCTACCTTAGTTAGGCAGCTGCTCAGAAGCTTGGACCTACGAAAGAGCCATAAGGCTCATAACCGGAAGGCTTTGGGAAGTTGTAAACTTCCTCTTTCCCTCTTCTCTCAATAGTTGTCCGAAACTTCTGATCAACTACCCAATTCCACAACGTCCTTCATCCACATCAAATATTCCATCAATCACAAGTCTCCCATCAAGGGTCATCACTTCTCACTCTCCCTTCTTAATATCAATTCAATCCCATCAGAATCATCGCGCTCTTGCCCATGATTTCTTACGCCCTCATCGCTGTGGCGACGGCATGCCTCGTCCTGATGAGCCCTTATCGCGAGACACATGGCTTCATCGTTTATATCGCTGTTGCCCTGCTTTGTTGGGAGACCAAGTATCCGCACCCACCCACCATTACTGCAGATGCCGACATCTACTACGAAACTGGCCGTCATATTGTGAGCACCAACTGGATGGTTATTGAGGATGAAATTTCCATGATACAGAGTTGGCTCAATTTCTTGTACGTTACCGTCCTCCCAGAATCAGGGATAGAGAATTTGCTAAGTTTTCACAATAGAAAGAACCGGCATCCTTTATATGAAGGAGCCATCGATTCGATCTGGTATCTCTTGGAATCCATGCTATCCTCGATAATTACTGCGACCCTTCCGGCTACATTGCTATGGTGCTTGCACCTGATCTTGGTATTCTACCAAAGGATGAGAAAGTCGTTTGCCTACATCATGGAACGCCTCTCGAACTGGCTTGCGACTCCAAACGAGTGGTCCGTCACTGGGACGCCCGGGACTTATCCCCTGGTTGATCGGTACGCCTTCGACGAAAAGAATGGCTGTTAGGTACCCGCCGTTCTGCTCGCTAGGCCGATCGACAACCAGGAGCCCGGGGTCCAAGACGCCCTGGACGCAACAGCCGATCCCTCATCCTCCTACCACTCTGATACTATGAGCCCGGAGCAGGATCAGGAAAGGGTCACAGGTCCAGCTGTGCCCGATACCCCCTGCCCGTCAGCCCGAGAGCATGCTCTCAAGGTCGAGCTTTTGGAAATGACGTTGGAACGAAATATTGTCATGAGGGAGCTGGAACAAGCCAACAAGGAGATGGAGGCGATGATGGCTCGGGAGGCACTTTTGAGTGCCGCTTTACCTACCCTCGCCTTCTCCCCCGTCATGCGCGTCGCGTCAATTGCCCCTCTCGCCCCGGTCGTCCAGCCTAACCCGACTTTATCGACATCGACGGCTGTAACCATGGCTATCATTCTTCCGGAGAGTTCCTCCGATCCTGTTCTCGGTCTTGTTCCTCCCACGACGATTGTGGCCATTGTGCCCGTCTCCCCTCCTCGTCCGGCTCCTACCGTCCCGATGCCCGCCATTTCAAGCCTCGAAGAAACGCTTGCCATCTTCGATTATCCTAAGTTCGATATCTTTCGCGATAAACCGGATCGAAGCTCTCCTTCCGCGGACCATAACGACGAGGAAATGGACGACGCGCCTCGGTGTGGCCCTGAAGAGCAGCCGGCTTTCGCCGCTGGTCTGATATGCGTGCCCGAGAACCATACTCCCGTTCAGATAAACGAGGAGATGGAGTCCGAGATCTCGGTTACTGTCCCACAGCAGTCGATGACTCTGAACACGGTGTTTTTACCCATTGTGGGATATCCCACAATGGACGTGTACCAAAGCCAAGAGGTTAATATGAGCGAGGAAGTCTGCCGCAACGACACGCCTATTGCACTAGATGCCATGCAGCAAGACCATTCTCTGATATCACCTATACATATAACGGGACTCCTCGAAGATACTCCCATCCCTGCAGAGCCAAACCATCCGCAAATATCCCCTATACATTCAACGGCACTTCTCGAGAACACTCCCATCCTTACAGAGCTAGACGAGCCTCAAATACACCCTATCCCTTTGACGGCACTTCTTGAGAACACTCCCATCCCTGCAGAGCCAGACTATCCCCAAATATCACCTTTACCTATAACGGCACTTCTGGAGAACACTCCCACCCCTGCAGAGCCAGTCCATCCCCAAATAGTACCTTTACCTATAACGGCATTCCTCGAGAACACTCCCATCCCTGCAGAGCCAGACCACTCTCAAATATCCCCTACATCTCTAACAACACTTCTCGAGAGCACTCCCCACCTGGCACAACCAGATACCCCAAGCCACGACATCAAACTGCAGGCTCCGGTTACTGAGGTCAGCGCGGGACAAGTCCCGGCCGGGCTGACCGTGGCGTCTCCCGAAGAAGTGCCTGAATCTCTTAGCCAAATGACCACAATTGGCGAGACCGTTAGCCAGCCTGAGATTGCCCCAGAGATCACTGCTCCTACTTCTGCCACGACGGACTCAGAGCCAAGCGCAAAGCCAGAGCCAAGTATAGCGTCAGGATCTCCGAGGCCACCTGCACCAGAAACTCCCGTTGTACCAAAGAAGCCATTACGTCGCAAACCAAAGGACCCGAACGCAATGTTCGTATCCAGGAACACTGTTGCAAAGCGGAAGGTGAACTTGGGTGCCGGCCGAAAGGCTGAGTACGAGAAAGAGGCAAAGTCCTCTCCTTCGACCGCCAACCCCCCTCCCCGTACCGCCCGGGACGAACTGCCCCCTTTGCCGGCCACGCCGGAGCCTTCTAAAAACCGCCCCCGCCCCCGACCACACGAAGACGAAGATGATCCAGACCGTGCTCGCAAGACGCCCGCCACCACGAACGCCGTCGTCGTTCTGTCTCCTCCTCAGCAGGGCCCAGCTGAGATTGCCCAGCGCCGTCTCTTTGCGCCCCGAAAGAGTCGGTTCACTGCCGAACAGGTCACTGGCGCCCACGCCGCGGAGCTGGCTGACCGGGAGCGGCTGGACGCGGCACTTGCCTCACGCCGTGCTGTAGAAGCGGAGAGAGAAGAGGCGAAGAAGAAGGCTGACGAGAAGCTCAAGAAGTAGGCTTCCCTGCGAGGGCGTTTCGGAGTCGTACCAGGGGGAAGCTCTGTGATCACGAGCAGAAGTCCACGGAAAGAAAATAACCAAAAGAAAACAAGAAAACAACACCTACTCTCTAATCAGTATCACGATCAGGCGTCCTCGCTTCCGTTTCCGCACGCCCGTATTTTCTACGTCAACACCCAACCAACTTGTTTCTTGTCGGTGGCGTCGGACCATGAAAGTGTCCTCCACCGTGTGCACGGAATTCTCTGTTTTGGCCTCGTCAGGGCTTTGCTATCGACTTTTAACCTTGGTCCAACCACTTGTTCCTGAGCCAGAGACAGCTCTGGGTTCCTTGTTAGAGTCGCCTGCGACCTTTCCGTTTTTCATCTTGTCTTGTCTTGCGTCTATACCATCCGCTTCATCTTCCACCTCGGCCCAAGCATCTTCCTGAAGGACTTCCCAGTCTGGTGCCGTAACCTCGCTTGACAGCTTTGTCTTCAATTTGTCTGCGAGTTTCAGAGGACCAGGAAGTTTTATGCTCTTCACAAAGTCCGCTCCCTCAGCGCCACCGAGGAAATTTCGAGCCGTTCCGTGGGAATACCGGCCCACCCAAGATGTCATGCTGGCTGCATCCTCCTGGCCATCTTTCTTGTCGACAGAGCCAGGCGATGGATACCTCTTTCCGGTCGGAACGCCAAGGAGTTGCTGGCCAATGAGCAAGTTATACAAATTGCGGCCAATGTGGCAGACGTCCTCGAAGACGCTGCGATCACCAATCGATACCCCCTGCGTGCAGCAAGCCCATGAGACATCGTACGCAAGCAGCGTCACCGCCTCAAGAAACATCGAATACGTTGCTGGATCCTCTTTGGCGAGCACAGGGAGCGTCTTGTCCACATACAACGGCCGAGGTCGCGGACCAGGCGGGGCGTTGTTGTTGCTGCCATCTGGACCACCTCCGAAATGAGAGCTGGGCGAAGTACCAGGAAAAGCGACATCATCGTGGCGATACGACGAAACAAGATTAAAAATTGTCGGCCGTGGATAGTCGCGATGTGGCAGAGTTAACTCGGCAGGCAGTCGAATGGCGAGATAATAGGACGCCAGCGATAGGATGTGAGCAACGTTGGCCAACCATGTTGAAAGTTGCTCGGGGGAAGCAGCTATTATCGTCAGCCGGTATTCCGTATAAATAAGCCACTTTGAAAACTACAACGGGAAGCACTTACAGTGCATTGAGGAAAGGTCCGTGATGGTCACAGATCCGATGCGGTACTCATACGGAGACGGAGAGTTGCTCTTCTTCAGGCGGCGTAATCCAAAGAGCTTTGCCGCTTCCATGCATAAGAAGGCGCGGGTTCTTGCCATGCCGTCGGCGCTCCTTTCCCACTTGAAGTTGAGAGACTGGATAGACCTCTCGGTGTCTTCCAGCTGACGGGCTCGACGTGCCCCAAGGCCATTCGACGCAGATGCGAGCTCAGCTTTTCGACGAGCAATGACAGCCCTGCGACGTTCAATTTCCTCCCGCGCAGCAGCAACCTCTGCCTTCAACCTATCGGCCTGTTCGATGATGCGACTGGTCCTGTCTTCGGCTGCCCGCTGCTCAGACAAGGAGTATCGCATGGCAATGGTGTGGTTCTGGGCAGAATCACCAGGGCGAATCTCGTTCTCTGACGACTTGACGATTTCGCCAATTTCTTTCTGGAGCTTCTCGTTCTCGAGGAGTGCAAAGGCGTTCTTCATTCGGCCATCATAACAGTGGTTACGGGCATCCACGGCACATAGGAAAGGCAGGCGCTGAGCGTGATGCGGCCTTCCACATATGTCGCAGCTCATGATGTCGATGTCGCAGTTGCATCAATATTTATCGTCGTTATCGTGCTGATATCGACAAAAAGCGCCTTGACCAACAGATGATCGTCTTGAGGGTCCTGCTCGTAGAGTCGATGCTATTGACAGACTCGGGCGCATCAATAAGGTAAAGGAAAAAGAACTTCCTGATCAGGAGAGATTTGCAGAGGAGATGAGATCAACAAAACCCTAAAGAGATTATCCTTTATATCTGGATTATCACGAGGTCGATTTCTGGGCGAAGGCAGGCAAGCGGATGAAGTCACGCGGACGTTGAACAGGTCTTTAAAGCAGTGAGGTACCTGAATCGATCATCAGTCATTCGTCAGCCACACAGCACAGGCGGCAAGGAACGGTGCATCATCAGGCAGGCAGCGGCGGCGCACCAGCCACACACATTTAGGCCAATAGGTCCTTAGCGTTCCGACGCCACAATCATTCAATCGGGGGCTGGTGGAACGGTGGGCAATCCAACACAGCCAGCTTTCCTGAACGCGTTTGCTACTGCAATCCATGCCCGTCATCTGATGCCTGTCAGGACCACAGGCTCATCAGCATACCATCACTGGAAAGGCAATGCGATACGCTCACTCCTCGGTCCATGAGCACTGCAGCAGGTTCTACAGGTGATCGCGGACGCCCAGTGGACAGCGTATTTGCTCTCGTTGGGATCAAACCTTGGAGCAACATCAATGATTACCTACCCACCTAGGTACCTGAAACGCGAAGGCCCAACTGCATATCGGGTAGTCCTTCCTCACAACCGCAGGGCACGAATTCTGCACGGCAGAATAGCCACCCTGGAAGAGGAACAGGCTACTGAAATATTGGATTAGCAAGCGTTCGAGTGCAGTCACCGCTGCTTCGCCACACACCTAATTCACCAAGGGAACGACCTGCTGCCTCATTATCGGTCACACGAAGGGCGCACTTCTTCATCTCCTCTTCTACATCTCACGATTTATTCCACATTTCCACTCCCCGGAACGGGATGAGCAACATGGCGGGGGACCTACAGGATGTCAAGGAAATCCAATCGATCTCCACACCCGAGCCTCCTCCTGAACAGCAACTTAGCAATGGGCGGGCCAACACACCCAGCACCCCGGGCGTCTTCACCTCGTTTGACTGGGAAGACTTTGAGGCCAGGTATCACAAGGCTCTCACAGATGCCGATGGCAAGGAACAGGAACTCATGAATGAGTTCAACGAGCTGGTCAAGGTGAGCACTATATTCCCAGTCTAACGTCCTTCGTGGTTACGTCGGACTCATACGGGCCGTGACTTTGTAGTTCTTCAACATTTGGGCAGCATCATCGAGTGCTCATGATACTCAGCGCGCAGTAAAGCGACTCCAAACCCGACAGCGTTTTGTCAATCTTTCTGAGCAGACAATGGCGCAGCGGCAGCAGCACAGTCAGTTCTCAGCCCCCCCAATCGTCAGATGCATGCAGCTCTTGCTAACACCGACAAAGTGACTGAAGTTCTTCAAGCTTTCCAGAGTGCCTTGGCCCTTCTTGGTCAAACCGATTCTTGATCACCAAGGCAGGTTTGTGATGAAGCCAATGCAATTATGCTTGAGAGATGGGAGTGGGGGCCGGGTTTTATGTATGCAGATGGACCTGCCTGCCACCTCACTCCCTCGATGTCAAGTCTTGTTATTGAGCATCAAAAACGACGCGATGTAGCAGACTTTATTCTGTCGTGCTCAATCGGCAGATGCGAATTCGTGCCGTGTCGTTGCTCCGCGAACCTGCTGTGCACGTGACCCTGGCTCGTCCTGGGAAATGGCACCTGAAGTTTTCCTCATTGCGACCAGACGCGACCAACCTGATCTCATCAACGTCGGGTTTGGCCTCAGCACCAATAACTTTTTACGCCGGCGCTAATAGATTGAGACCTCGCCCCGATCCATTGCTGTCCGTCTCTTTCTTTTTAATGGTAAGGATGGCCTCTTCAGCAAGAACACCTCGAGCTGTCCATGCGGCATTCCCACCACCACAGATCAGTCACGTAAGCATCTTCTCCGTCCCACACCCGCGTCCCTGAATGCCGCCACTGACATGCTCATCAGCACGAGCTTGTGGCTTTCCATGAAGCGCACTTTTCACATTCTGCTATCGGCGGCTTTACTTCTGACTTTCTCAACCCCCAGAGAGAAGCTTCTCAAATTCATAACCTGGATGATGCCGAGCCTGAGTTACAAGACGATGATGACGGCCTCGGCTACTACGATGACGGCGTCAAACGCACTTTGACCGACGAACAAATTGCCATGTTTCGTCATTCAGAGCTCGAGGCTTTACGTCGTAAGGGCGAAAAGCTACCTGTCATCGTTGATCAAGCCAGCGGAAACGAAGCTGAAGATGGCGAAGTTGAAGATGGTGGAAATGCAACCTCCAACGCAAAGCCAACCCCGACTGCATCCTCCGGGGCCGGTAAGAAAAAGAAGAAAGGCAAGAAATCCGCCCGGAGCAAGCCGTATGAGCCGAAACCCGATCTGCGAAAGCGAACTTGGGACATCGTTGAAACGGGTCTCGACACTCTTGAATACGACTGAACGTACTTCGGATTCTCGCACACCATCTCGTCGTCCACAGTGTCTACCGAAGGCACCGAAGACCCTCAACCGATGAATAATGACGCGCTCGCACCTCCTCTGAGGTATTCGTCTGGCCAGACGATTGCCCACTTGCATCCCTCACGGCAGAAAGTAAGTAATGACTACAGTATGAACCCATTCCTCGCGATGATGAAAACCATTGTATCGTCATCCTTAGTCGGAACCTATCAGCTTGATAGGTCGAGCGGTCGATCTTGGTTGACTTCTCGGCCTTGAGCTTGGACATGTCGAGCAATAATCTTCTCTCTGAGCGCAATCCTCAAACTCATTCATTTTCTCCTACACTGGTGTCCCACCTAGCTAACGCTGCGGTCGTATTAAGAATAGGGCACATGCCTGCCTGCAGTCAAACTTGGCCCCTCTCATAGGCCTGCACCTTAGCAGACGCATGCGAGGTGCAGGTACGAAGCGTGAGGCCTCGAGGAAGATAAGCCATTCCCTCGAGGGAGGCGATGCCGGGCTGCTGCTACACGCGCATCACGGAATCCTTCTTGAGGAGTCAGCATAAGCCCAGCACGATGAATTCTGCGGGCGTTAAGTAGTGGGTACGGCGCTTAAGGATTATGGAGGCAATGTGACCACCAGCCCACCAGCAAAACCCTCATGGGCCTACAGGCATCTTCGGGTGACACGAAATCCGACATGAGGTCACTTTTGTGATTTGAGAGGAGAGTGACGGGAAGATGGGAACAGAAGTCACCGAGGTTTACCTGCAAGCGCAACAGGACGCGTCACGCCATCGAATTGGACGCTGCGCAGGTGTATGGCAGATAGGCTTACAGAAGAAACTCTTGATATTGGAAGTAGCGTTAAAACCCGCTGAGGCCAATTGAATTTAAAGTGGCATGCGACAGTGGCCCCCCAATCAATCCTCCAGTTGAACTAGATCAAGTTCGGTGACATGGTCATAAATGAGCTTTGGACTTTCGGTGTGCGGGCCAAGGTGGACTCACGGTGTGGGAAACGCCGCATGCGACAGGCGCGCGGGCGGCTGAACCGGGCGCCAATCACAGGCCAGGCTGCCAGGTCTGATTTTGGACATCCCACCTTGATTTACTCCCTCTCCGATCATCCACCTCGCATCACCCCGTTGATGAACCGCCAGCCGGGCTAGACCCCTCTTTCCCGCGACATAGTATCCTTCATCACCACCACCACGCCACTTCAGTCCTGCGCGGGAATCGCCAGGCACCAGGAGCCCAAGATGGCGCGGGTCTACGCAGATGTCAACCAGACCATGCCCCGCAGTTACTGGGACTACGACAGTGTCAACATCAGTTCGTCTCTCCAGGGCGTACCCACGACAGTCACCTACTTGCAGTTATGCTGATCAGGTTCTTCATAGGCTGGGGAGTTCTCGAGAACTACGAAGTGGTCAGGAAGATTGGTACGTTCGTCCTGCCCGCGCGACGGCGCTTCCCTCAGCTCCCTTGCTTTGCGCGTTCCCCCACTACTGGCACCGATGCGCATCGTTGAGTTATCACGGCAGGCCACTGACAAGACATGTGACAGGGCGCGGCAAATACTCCGAGGTCTTTGAGGGCATCAACGTTGTCAACTACCAGAAATGTGTCATCAAGGTTCTGAAGCCGGTTAAGAAGAAGAAGATCAAGCGTGAGATCAAGATTCTCCAGAACCTGGCAGGCGGACCAAACGTCGTCGCATTGTTAGACGTCGTTAGGGATAGTCAGGTATGCGCACAATGACGGGATGCTGTATCGACTCCACGATAGCTTGCTGACTCGAGACTGTAGAGCAAAACGCCTTCCCTGATCTTCGAGCATGTTAACAACATTGACTTCCGAAGCCTGTACCCAAAGTTCAACGATCTCGACGTTCGCTATTACATCAACGAACTTCTGAAGGCGCTTGACTTCTGTCACAGCAAGGGTATTATGCATCGTGACGTTAAGCCTCATAACGTTATGATCGATCATGAGAACAGAAAGGTATAGCTTGCCAACATTGCTCCGATGGCCGAACATGTCGCTGACTCACGCCACTAGCTGCGCCTAATCGACTGGGGTCTGGCCGAATTCTACCACCCCGGCACAGAGTACAACGTTCGCGTCGCCTCGCGCTATTTCAAGGGTCCTGAGCTGTTGGTGGATTTCCAGGAATACGACTACAGCTTAGACATGTGGAGTCTCGGAGCCATGTTCGCAAGCATGATCTTCAGGAAGGAACCCTTCTTCCATGGCAACAGTAACTCGGATCAGCTCGTCAAGATTGCTAAGGTGCTTGGAACCGACGACTTGTTCGACTACCTCGACAAATACGAGATTGAGCTGGATGCCCAATACGATGATATCCTTGGGCGGTTCCAGAAGAAGCCTTGGCACGGCTTCGTCACGTCGGAGAACCAACGCTTCATTAGCAACGAGGCGATTGACTTCCTCGACAAGCTATTGAGATACGACCACCAGGTATGTCCTCATGCACTGCGCATCATTACTCGCAATACTAGTGACTAACAATTTTGCCAGGATCGCCTTACTGCCAAGGAAGCTCAGGCTCACCCCTACTTCAACCCCGTTCGCGACCCCGAGACGTTCAAGCAGAGCCTTCGGGAAGCCGACGCATCTTCCACCTCCACCTCATGATTGACGGCCCCAGCATATGATCTACAATATCAATCAGAAGAAATAGGCGCTCAATATTCGAGTTCACAAGTGATACCCTGACATTGCCACCGCAGCGTGCGTCTTGGCACCGCAAGGCCAACATCCGCGCTGAGGGGCCTTTGAATCTCAGACTCGAAGTACAGATGCACCGACTCTCACCTCACTTGTCTCCTCACCTCCGACTTTCGACGACACTCGGTTACAATTCATCTCTAAACGGACCCCTTCTGTCCAGCTGGACGGACGCGCCACTCGTCTCTCTTCGGTTCTTTGTCAGCGTCGGGAAGCTCATGCACGTTCAAACGGCCGGAAGGAATTAATTCAGTCATGGGAAAGGAAGGGTGCTTCGAGGGGAGTACACAGCGGCTACGGTTGGACGGACTACGGCATGGCAATGCGAAGGAGGGCTATGTTGGTTTAGGGCGGATAGCGGAGTTGTCGTTTGATTTTCTCAGGAGGCATGATAAGAGGAGGGGTTTGGGAAAAGAAGGACATGCTGCACAGATGGCACGTCTCTTTGGTTTCCCCTAGTTGCGTTTCTCCATTGCAGGTGTATGGTATTCCAACGAAACAGCGATTTAAATCTGTGCGTGTCAGAATATGTTTGTTCACCGTTTGTGACAATCGCTCCGAGGGCTAGAGCGAACATGACGAGACGAGATATTCTGACCCTGGTGTATTCAACAGATTGTATGTGGTTTACATATTGAAAAGTCTATCCTTGGAGGCAGGTGAAGCAGAAGTCCCTGTCGCAGCTGAACCCATCCACGCCGCACCTGCGCAGCTGTCCACCAGGCGTCCGAATGAGCGATCCCGCCTGGCTTCCTGGAGACGCAAGTCGCTTCCTCTTCGTCGGCGTGCTCATCCCGCCAAAGCCTTCCCGTGCCGTGCGGAAGCGCAGCCCGCTGCCTCCGCCGCCGCTGGTCACGAGGCCTGCCGGAGACATGATACTGCCGCGACTGCGCAGCGGCGAGGAGCCGGCGAGTTTGGCGAGTGTACTCTTGCGGATGGAAGAAAAATCAACTACCCGAGGGGGTAACGCGGACCCTGTCCTGGGGGTAGACCAGGAATCGAAGATCAAGGAGATCTCGTCTTCTTCGGCATCTCCAGGGCGGAGGGAGAGGATGCTGCGGCGGGGCGAAGGTCTCTGAGGCGTCAGTATTTGAGCCTGAGGGGTTGCGGTCTTGCTGGTGCTGTTCTTCTGCTTCTCGGGTTCGTTGTTGCTGGCCGCGAGCGGCGAACTTTTGGGAACGTCGGCTCCCACGACATCGGCTTCTGCTTGTGGTGCCTGTGAGAGCTGTACGATAGCCGACTGCGCTTCCTCAAGTACAGGAATGGATGTCTTATGGTGGAGGTCCTTTGTCTTCTTCCTCTTATTCTTCTGCTTCTTCTTCTTCTTCTTAGAGCTGCAGGTACTTTCAGAAGCTAGCGGCAGCGTGGGAGACTGGGCAGCAGATTCTTTGTCCTGAGTCGACGCGAGGGGCTGTGACACCTTCCGTAGCGATGATTCCAGGTTCTCATCAAGGCAATCTGAATCAGGCACCTCAAGTACAGTGTTCTTCTGTGTCGGTTGCTCGTCGTTTGAAGTCTGCTGCAATGGTGGCAAAATGCTAGAGTTGGTTGGTAATTCAGGCACTGAATCGACAGCTATTGCAGTTTCTGACTGTTCTGTTGGCCGGCTTGTACGCTCGTTTGATATTTGCGACGGCAAATCGATTGCCACGTTGAGGGGCAGCTCTTGAGCTGCAGATTCTGGCTTCTTGACCTGAGGTGGCGTCGCAGCCTTTCCGGCCATGCTCTCCTGTATAGTCGAAACTTCGGTGCGGTCTCCCCCCTTTTTTGATATACCTGGAAGCACAGAAACCTCTGGTATAGGCAAATCAACCAGTCTCTGTTCTCCTTCCATAGCATGCGCTTGTGTCTTTTCGGGTGCAGCTGCAGCTTCTGATTCTCTTGGGAGTGCCACATTCGACAAGTCGGGAGTTTGAACAGATCGGGAACGCGCATCAGGCTTTCCAGTAGTCGGTACTACGACACCTTTCGCAAGCGGAATTCCACTCTCTTCGTCGGAGAACTCGTAAGAAGGATCAACTTCGTTTCTTTGGTAGATTTCTGTCGACGCTTTGTCAATCGTCTCTTGAGGCTTCACTTCTGTAGGTGGCTCTATTGCGGGGGCTGAAGAGGACAGGGAGGTCAACGCTTGAGAGTCAGGGATACTCGATGCGACGTGCTCTATCCTTGCCGGAGACGCATTTGCCTTAATCTGTGACATGGGAGGTGTATCGGTCCGCTCGGTGCTCTGGGGAGGTGGTTCACAGGCTATGTCGCCCACCTCTGTCAGCCCTGGTGGTTCCGGTCGCCTGGGAAGCTCGATAACAAGCTGTTGAAATCTGGACTTCCGAGGTAGCTCGTCTACCTGAACGGGGAGTGTTGACTCAGGAATAGTATGCTGCGGTATCAGTTCCGGTGCTTTATTAGAAGTATTTTTCTTGGGCCGGCTAGGCCCTCTCTTGGCTGTGACCAGCTCGACGTGAAGTTGTGAAATTTGATCTGGCGGCGTGGTGTTGACTCTGCTGCTAATTCTGACGCCAGGGATTGCAGTTTTACTTCGAGGTCGACCCACGGGTCTGATGCCTTTCGCTTTTGCTGGAGGCTTTTTTCGCTCTTTAGCTGAATTTCCTGGATGACTGTGGTCGCTGTCGTTTGGCTGCTTCGCTTCCCCACGATTTCCCCCATCTACTTCTTGACTCTTGGGTGCCGATTGGAAGACTTTTGATTTACTTGGACTTGTAGCCGCCGATCCAGTCGCAACATGAGAAAGAATCTCATCCTCGTCGTGCCCATCTGCTGGTACAAGAGAAGGCCTGCGCTGCCCCGACTGAGCAGAGCGTCCGGGACTCTTGCAGTGACGGCTTGAAGGCGATGGAGCAGGTTTGTACGGGCTCAAAGGCCACACCATGTCGCTCGGAGGCAGCGACCAGATAGACTCCTCATTCTCGGCAGCCGGGACACTGTACCTGGTAGCTTGAAATTTGGACGTGAAATTATCGCTAAACTCCGGTGAAGGTAGCCGTGGCGTCCTCCAAACCGGATCGGTAGCACCATGGTCTGGCCCCCATGCACCTCGAGACAAGGGCGAGGAGCGTGGAGGGGCATGTCGAGAAAACGCTAGTTTTGAGAGCCTGTGCTCAGTTCCAAGACCGCCCGGTGTTGAGAGTTCGGGGCCTTCTCTGCGTTGGAGTGCTGAAGTGGCAGCCGCTTGGGTTGGGCTGGGTGGCGGCGGTTGTCGGTCCTTTGAAGCTCGAGACTCCTCCTCACCTTCCCCTGCCCGCGAAGTGTCGCGCGGCTGTGGCTTTGAAGAGAAATCAGGTTGCCCTTGCTCGTGACCTTCTTCTTCAGAAGTCATAAACGCATCTTCCAGAAGCATGCCCCCGTCTTCTTCAAGAACACTGTCCACGCCGCCTAGGCCCAGTCGTTGGATGTGGCCATTGTCGACAACGATCTCTCCTGTTCGTAGGTCGATCTCATCTGCAATTCCTGTAAAGTCTCGTTCGTACTTTTCAAAGATGTGCTCGAATGTCGACTTGAGCTTGTAAGCAGCGAAGGCTCTGGACTCGGCGAGTTGGAAGCCAGAGTCTCGTTGATGGTCGACATTCTCGAATTCAAAGTCAAGCTCATCGTCTTCATGCTGATGGCGACTTGCTGGTGTATGGCTTAGTCGCTGGCGCTTTGCGGGAGGCTCCATGTCGGTGCTTGAGGAGCCTCACGGAGAAACAGGCCTTGATTTCCTCCCCTATTGATCTGACACGGAGCTCACGACTTGCTTTGCGCCGCCTCAACTGATATCGCCCGGATCCAGGCACTGTGAGGTGAATCTACTCGGTCACTGGAGCGACGTCGAGCCAGGGGCTTAATTGAGACGCGCTTTGACGCGGGTAAGGTGGATGTGATGGAGCTGTCCCACGCGTCTGCATGTGACGCTTAGGCCACGCGATCAATAGTGCCCCGCAGGTGACACTGTTGACCGTCCTTCTAGTGGGGAACTATAGCGTACGGTCGCTGGACCTCGAGTAGTAATTACGGGGAGGCTACCCAAAAGGCCCCGCCGCGCGCGCTGTGCTGCTGGTGCAGGGTACTTACTGATGGGGGGTGTGACGCAGCTTGGGAACCTGTCCAACCACACCAGTCCAGTCCCTGGGCTTCAACTCCAAAGCTTCCTTCAACAACCAACCAAACAATCTTTCGCTGACGAACAAGAATACCAAGATTGACAGCCACATACTCCATGCATGTTGCAGCCATGTTGAATTAGTGCAGGCTATACACAACGCATCATGTATTGCCAAAAGTGCCGCACGCCACTCAAGCTTGACAGCTCGCTCGACGAGCTCAACCCAGCTGCCTATGACCTGCTCGTGGGTTCGTCATGACTGATCTTGCCACTCTTGACTGCCTGTCTGACGTTGACAGCCAACTCCTCACAGCAACAACTCAAGCAGTCACAACTGTCCAAAGGATCTTCACCGCAAGACCAGCAGAGAAAGGCACTCTACGATCGCGTTGCGCAGAATGCTGCACCAGCCATGTTCAAGCGCAACGCCGGCGGTGGATCACAACGAGATCCAAACATGTCCTTCATCTACCTGACCGAGTCCCAGGTCGCCCAACCTCTTTCTTCTCGCCACGAGCCCTCCAACACGAACCGACGCTCAACAAGACCGAATAGGTCCACCGAAACAAACGGCACGCGCGAAATGGCCAAGACACACGAGATCGAGCGCATCCACAAGCTGCACGAGATACTGTCGGCGCGGTCAGATATTGACCACCCCGTATGTGTCGAGTGTACTGATATGCTGGTGGAGGGTCTGCAGAAGAAACTCGAGGCTGCGAACAAGGAGAGAGACGCATATGTGGGTTTCCTGAAGCAGGCCCAAGCCCAGCAGCCGAGCGAGGAGGATATCAAGAAACAACAGCAGTCGCTTGAGAAGGCAAGACAGGCCGAGGCAGAGGCTTCCGCCGAGCTGCTTAAACTGGAGAAGGAGAAGGCAGCCGTAGACGAGGAGATTCTCGGCCTGGAAGACGAGGCGCGGGCGTTGGACCGGGAAGAGGAAGAATTCTGGCGCGAGCGAAACGCCTTCACGGCCAAGCTGTCCGAGTTTCAAAACGAACGAGACAGTATCAACTCCAAGTTCGACCATGATTCACGCCTCTTGGAGAAACTACAACGATCCAACGTGTACAACGACACGTTCTGCATCAGTCACGACGGCACTTTTGCCACGATCAACGGGCTACGGCTGGGCCGCCTGTCCAACAAGGCTGTGGACTGGCCTGAGATCAACGCGGCGTGGGGCCATGCGCTCCTGCTGCTCGTGACAGTGGCAGAGAAGCTGAGCTATAAGTTTGACGGCTTTGAACCGCAGCCCATGGGGAGCACCTCCAGGATCATTCGATACGAGCTCCCGTCGCCTTCGAGCAGCCGGCTGGGGTCGCACCGAAGCGGACCTCCGCCGGCGCCGAAGAAGCACGTGCTCGAGCTCTTCTCCAACGGCGACCTGCCCCTCGGTCTAACGTTCATGCATCGCAAGTTTGACAATGCCATGGTCGCGTTCCTCGAACTCGTGCGGCAGCTGGGAGCGTACGTGCACCGCCAGACGTCAGCCGAGGGCCACCCGCTGAGTCTCCCCTATAAGATTGAGGGTGACAGGATTCACGACGTCTGCATCACGCTGGGCATCGCGCAGGACGACGGGTGGACCAAGGCGTGCAAGTTGACGCTGACGTGCTGCAAGTTCCTGCTCGCCCACGCTAGCAATGTCAGCTCGAATGCGAGAAATGGCGGGAACTGAAAGGGTCGGCCTATCGCAGGTGGGAGAGCTGTAGGATGGGAGAGCATGGCGTTTGGGGAGGCACAACTGGAGTACTAGTCATTTTGCGACCGTAGTGTTTGCGTGATTGAGGCCAAATGAAACTGAAAAGTCTCCGGCCCATCAGACAGGGATCAGAGATACCATCCGAGTGTGCATGTACATGTACCCTTGGATGATGCAATGAAGAAGGGTGCAGCGAAAAGTGAGGGGGTTTGTGGTCACCGACCGAGCGAGACAGACAAAGAGAAAAGGAAAGAGGGAGGAGCCTCAAATTGACCCAGCTCAAGAGTACCTAAGCAGCATTCGATAGATACCTAGCTTGGCATGTCAACCTTTGTACATGTCGACCGACAACTTGTCCTAACTAACTACCTTACATGTCGAAGACATCTTCACGCCCTTCCAAGTGCTATCGCCATTGGCATCTGTCTCCCAGTTCGCCCGCACGCGCCACCTGCCACGGCTGGAACGGCTGAGGTGGTCACCGCCAGACCAGACTACTAGGCATGCTTTCGGTTAGGCCAAGGCGGGAGGTTGCAGCCTCTGCATCTGGATCTAACCTCAAATTGATTCGGCGAAGAGAAAAAAAATCGATGCGATGGCATTCGACATTGGTCAACATGGTGGGACATTGCTGGTGGGGGCGACCATCTTGCCTCTGCTTGGTAAGGCAGTGTGGATGCTCGCCCACGTTCGACTCATCTCACCGAAGCGGCGGCGGCGTGAAGGATGACAACCGCGGACGACGAAGTTTCGTCGTTGAACGAGGGACCAGGACCCCCAGCATCCCCTCCTTCTGAACTCTGCTCGTTTGCTTTAATAGTGATTCGATCCGGTACGGTGCCAGAATTTTCGTTCGATTCGACGTACAACAACACCCGACTCGTCGATTCGAACCTGGGACCTTCGACTTGGGCTTTACGGAACATTGCAGACCCCAGTGCAGGCGACTAGGGTGGCTGCCGAACCTTGCGCGTATCTCGTACACGCGCTCAAGTGAGGAGTTGAGGTGAGGCTGGATGTGTGCAGACTCATCGGCATCACGTCAGCTTCCAATTCTAGGCGTCAAAACTCGACTCACTTCTTAAGAGTCACCTCTTGGAAACACTACGAAGTACCACGGCACCTTGAGCCTTTCTTCCCCCTCGGCGACGATAAACACTACGGTGCTCCGACACAGCAATACGATACGGCACGACACATTTCCCTTCTGCGCCGTTCCACCTACGGCCCCCATCATGTCTCGCGACTCGACGTTACTAGGCGGACTGGCCGCGATTCTGGCCTTCATCGCCCTTTGCACGCTCCCCGCCCTCTCAGGTCTAATCAAGCAGCTTCGTACTCGCGCTCCAAAGGACAACTTTTACTCAGACCAGGATGGCAAGAGTACGCCTGAAGCTGTTGCTGCCTTCTCCAACCGCTGGCCAAAGGTCTTCATTGCCTTCTTTGCCGCTCTCGGCTGTGCCACTTCAATAACGCTCTCCGTTCTGTCCACCACGAGCTCCGAAGGACGGCAGGGTCTTTCCCTGCAAGATTGGACAACCACGGCATCGTGGGTGAGTACACCTTAGCATCGAGTCATGCATGCATATAATATTGACCTGACATTCACAGCTTCTGCTTGCTGTACAAACTGTTTGCATCATTGCAACAAATGACTCGGTCCTGGCCTACAATGTCGGTCTCTGGACCTGGCTCAGCAGCTTGCTCCTTCTCCTTCTTCTCCTGGTACAGGACACCAGTCTTCTGGGAGAGCTTCTTCACCGTGACAACGCGTCCTTCGCGCTCCGTATCGTCAATCTCGTCGCGGCCCTGGGTCTCACTACAGCCAGCATCACAGTGCAACGCAGGCCTGATGTTTTTGTAGATGGCAAGATTGTCGATCGCATGCACACCGTATCCGCTTATAGCCGCTTCACCTGGAGCTGGTGTACCGGCGTCCTCAAACAAGCGACAGCCAAGAAGGACCTTGAGGTCGCTGACCTTCCCCGGCCCGACCACAACACGCGTGCCAGGGACCAATCTGCGCAGTGGAAGGCATACAACTTCAAGGGCCCTCTCTGGAAGAACGTCATCTGGGCGTTCCGCTGGCCCCTCATAATTCAGTGGCTTCTCGCCATCTTCAGGAACGTCGTAAGCTTTGCTCCCTACTGGGTCACCCTTCGCATCCTTCGGGCACTCGAGGCGAGACAGCCAGGAGAAAAGCTCAGCGTCGAGACCTGGATCATGGTTTTCTGGCTTGGCCTGACCGTTCTAGCCGATGCCTGGTTCTCGGCCTGTCTGTTCTGGATCTCCTGGTCCGATGTGTGCATCCCCCTGCGCGGACTCCTTTCTGCCCTGATTGTCGAGAAGGCTATGCGTCGCAAGAATGTCAAACAAGCCAGCAAGACAGACGCCTTGAAAGTGAGCACCAATGAGGACGGCACCAAGAAAGACAGCCAGGATGAGGAAGAGGAATCGGATGCCGATGCCCTCAAATCCCAGCAGGGTGTCGTCAATCTGATAGGTGTTGACACCAAGCGAGTGGCCGACTTTGCCGCTTTCCAATTCTTTTTCCCTGCAAGTGCTACCAAGCTCGCTTTCGCCATGTGGTTCCTCGTTTCCCTGTTAGGCTGGATCCCTTTGCTCTCAGGTCTCGCCACTTGGGCCGTCATCTTGCCGTTCAACATCTACTACACCAAGGTGTATTCCAACGCGCAGGACCGTCTCATGAAAATCAGGGACCAGAAGCTGACCCTCGTCAACGAGAGCTTGCAGGGCATGCGTCAGATCAAGTTCTCCGCACTTGAGAGACAATGGGAGGGCCGGATCCTTGCCATGAGAGAGCGAGAGCTCGGTGCCATCTGGGACGTGTTCAGAAGCGACTCGATGCTATTCGGCTCCTGGGTCGCCATCCCGGTTCTTCTCGCTGCGACGTCTCTTGCCGTGTACGCCTGGATCAACGAGACTCTGACACCATCTGTCGCATTCGTCAGCATTGGCGTCTTCAAATCTCTGGAGCTTGCGCTATCCCTGATTCCCGAGCTGACAACAGATCTCGTCGATGCCAAAGTCTCCATCTTCCGAATTGAAGCCTATCTCAATGGACCCGAGATCACGCAGACCATCACAGAAGGCCACGATATTGCCTTTGAGAACGCCGACATCGCTTGGCCTGTCGATGAAGAAACCAATGACGCCGATCGTTTCATTTTGCGCGATGTCAACTTGAGCTTCCCAGCTGGCGAGCTCTCGGTCATCTCTGGCAAGACCGGGTCTGGAAAGAGTCTGTTGCTCGCTGCTATCCTGGGCGAGACGGATTTACTTTCCGGCAAGATTTATGCCCCCAAGGCGCCGACCAGAATCGAACGCAACGACAGTCAAGCCAACGCCGGCAACTGGCTCCTTCCCCACAGCATCGCATACGTCGGCCAGATTCCCTGGATCGAGAACGCCTCCCTCAAGGACAACGTTCTCTTCGGCCTTCCGTATGACGAAAAGCGATACAAGGACACTGTCTTCGCATGTGCACTGACTAAGGATCTGGACATGTTCACCGACGGCGACAAGACGGAGCTCGGCACCAACGGCATCAACCTCAGCGGCGGTCAAAAATGGCGTGTTACTCTGGCTCGGGCAATTTATTCTCGCGCCGGTATTCTCGTGTTTGACGACATTTTCAGCGCTGTTGATGCCCACGTCGGCCGTCACATTTTCGAAAAGTGCCTGACTGGGCCTCTCAGCAAAGGTCGAACTCGGATTCTCGTGACACATCACGTTGCTCTCTGCGAGTCAAAGACCAAATACATTGTCGAGCTCGGCGACGGTACGGTTCAACACAATGGCCTTCTCTCTGAACTGGACGAGGATGGAACGCTGCAGCTTATCAAGAGCCATGAGCAGTCCCATGCCGACAACATGGGCGACGACGAAGCCACAGCCGTCAACTCGGAGCAGGCGTCAGACGTTGACGTTGACGCCATTCAAGTACTCGAAAACGAAGACATTGACGGCGGTGTCATCAAGAAGGTGCCGTCCAAATCCGCACGCCAGTTTGTCGAGGATGAGACGCGTGAGCAGGGCGCTATCAAGAAGCACGTTTATGCCACGTATCTTCGCGACAGCGGTGGCTGGTCGTGGTGGACCCTGGCTACGCTCATCTTCGTCTCCTTCGAGGTCATCACTCTCGGCCGATCCTGGTGGCTTCGTGTCTGGACCGGTGACACTGCGGAAGCTCATGTCCACGGACTCGAAGAGTATGGCCATATCTATGCCACGACTCTCCAGCACAGCACAATCCACACAGCTTCAACGCCTTTCCGGACGACACAGGACCGCAGTCTCAATTATTACCTTGCTGTTTATATTGCCATCTCCTTGGGCACGGTAGCTCTTGGTGTCATGCGCTTCTTCTACCTGTTCCTTATGAGTCTCAAGGCGAGCAGGCACATGTTCCGAAATATGACGCACACGGTCCTGCGAACGCCGCTTCGATGGCTCGATACGGTGCCCGTCGGCCGCATTCTCAACCGTTTCACCGCCGACTTCAACATCATCGATAGCCGCATTGCCATTGACCTGACGCTGACGCTCAACTCGGCCCTCAGCGTTATTGGCATCTGCATTGCATCCATGTTTGTCTCTCCGCTCATCATTGTTCTGGCGACGATTCTCCTTCTGATTTGCGCTCGAATCGCTCTGCGTTACCTCGACGCCGCGCGTCCCAGCAAGCGCCTTGAAAGCACGGCCAAGTCGCCCATCTTTGAGCTTTTCGGCTCTGCTCTCACGGGCGTGACCACTATCCGAGGCTTTGACAAGTCGCATAGCTACATCAATGCCTTGTACACCAAGCTTGACGACTACGACATGGCAACATGGCATCTGTGGCTGTTCAACCGCTGGATGGGCTGGCGCATGTCCATTGTGGGTGCCATGTTCTCCGTCGTCGTGGCTGCCATGATCCTGGCCGATGCTGAGATGGACGCCGCGCTCGCTGGCTTCACCCTGTCTTTCGCGCTCGACTTTTCCGAGTCGGTCCTGTGGGCGATCCGCAACTACGCAAGCATCGAGCTCGACATGAATGCTGCCGAGCGTGTTGTCGAATACTCGGAACTCCCCACTGAAGAGCAGGGCGGCGAAGAGCCCCCGGCCATGTGGCCCACCGAGGGCCGTCTCGAGGTCAACGACCTTGTTGTCAGCTACGCCAATGATCTGCCGCCCGTCCTCAAGGGCCTGACGTTCAGCGTCAACAAGAACGAGCGCATCGGCGTGATTGGCCGGACGGGCGCCGGAAAGTCCTCTCTCACCTTGGCGCTGTTCCGTTTCCTCGAGGCGCGGTCGGGAAGTATCCACGTTGACGGCCTCGACATTTCCAAGATCAAGCTGCAGGAGCTCCGCTCCCGCCTCGCCATCATCCCGCAGGACCCGGTCCTCTTCTCGGGCACGGTCCGAACGAACCTCGACCCCTTCAACGACCGCTCGGATGCCGAGCTCGAGGACTCGCTGCAGCGCGTGCACCTTGTCGGCGCAGACGAGTCCTCGTCCCCCGGCACGCCCTCCGGACCAGCCTCGTCGCCCACGACTGCCGTGGCAAAGAACACGAACCCGTTCCGCAGCCTGTCGTCTGCCATCTCGGAAGGCGGACTCAACCTCTCGCAAGGGCAGCGGCAGCTCCTCTGCCTCGCCCGCGCCATCGTCGCGCGACCCAAGATCATGGTGCTCGACGAGGCGACGTCGGCGGTCGACATGGCGACGGACGCGCTGATCCAGCGTTCGATCCGCGAGGAGTTCACGGACTCGACGCTCATCGTCATTGCGCACCGCCTCAGCACGATTGCGGACTTTGACCGGATCCTGGTGCTGGGCGAGGGCAAGGTCGTCGAGTTTGGGTCGCCGAAGGCGCTGTGGGAGAAGGGACGGGACGGCGTCTTCCGGGGCATGTGCGAGGAGAGTGGAGAGAAGGAGAAGCTTCGGGACGTGATCTTTGGGTGACGAAATTCAGCAGCAGTTTGCCGTCACTCACAGCAGCATTCCTTGACTAGATTGTACATGGCGAATGTTTATTTCTTCGTTTTCTTTTTCATATGTATCAGGTTGCCTCGTTTATCGTCTCGTGCCTTGTCTTTTGTGACAGCAAGAAGTAGCCTGTCAGCGAAGTCTCGACCGTGGCTGTGAGTGGATAAGGTGTTACGCAAGCCAATCATTTACATAAGGTAGGCAAGATACCCAGTTGATTGCTGGTAGTTGATCGTAAGGGGAGACTTCGGTGTTCCTTATGCGAGGGGCTCCTACGACGGGTAGTGCTGTCAAGGTTCCCACGTCAGAATGATGAAGGCCCGTATGGAATCTGCGAAGAGTGCAGTACGTGTAGGTTGCCCACCACCGACCGTCGTGTGGCCGCCATCTCATCCGCGCACTGGTTGACTGGGTCTTCGCAGCGTCCAGGCAGCTCGCTACCGGCTCACCGCAGAGGATTCGCCGGCGCACGAGGAGGCTTAGTACCTATGGCTGCGCAGGGCAGGAGGTGATGTGCAGTAGGGGGGCGGTAAGGGGGGTGGGCAGCTGGAGATAATGCACCATGCAGCAGATGACCAGGTGAGAAATGACCATTCGCGCGCTCCCTCGTGAGATGCCCAGGCGCGGGACCCATCCGAGCACAACACGAGCAAAAGCTGGAAAGAGGGAAGGCGGCCATCAGTGTGAGGCAGCACGATCCAATCCATTGCCCATCTGCACCTGCCCTCCGTCTCATCCTGGTAACACGACCACGTCAGGCAGGCACGTCCCAGACCGTCCCCACTCCTCCCGCTGCGGCCTCCACTCACAGCCCGTCTGTTTAGAGCCTGTCAGACAAGTATCCGCTACCTTTACCGTGCCTGACACCGTCACCACCAGTTCGTATACAGTACCTGCTGTTTGGCTTGGGGACCTGGAGCAGCCACTGTAGGTAGGAGCAGCTCGTGACCATGACCTCCAGTTGGCTGGATCGCCTTCCCACCTACTACCTACCTAGGTCCTTACCTACACCTTTGCTTTGCCTGACCTTACTGTTCACAGCAGCAACCAAGCCTGCCATGCCAATTCCCATTTCCGATCTTCTACTTTGAATGACTTTCTTTCCCTGCCTACCTACTCGACCAGTCACTCCGACCTGTCGCCATCGTTCTTCCATCAACGACATCTTTTCCAGCTGCTGAATCTACCTGATACTTTGTTGTAGTGGGCCTCCACCTACAGAGAGCTCCTGCTCGTAGACCTTGTCACTCACTCCCCAATCTCCCCCACGTCAAAACATATCGATCAACAGCCAAACGTTAGCACGAACCTCCCCCCCTCAAGCCACAGAAACACTCGCCACGAATCCCGTCCCAGCAGACCTGAACTCGAAGCGCCAGCTGCGACGCATCGTCTACAAACTATAACTAGAACCTATACCAAACCTGCCATCGAGACTCGACAAACACATACTCCGAGCTAGCCCCCCCTCCCATCCAAGCCAGCTCGTCTGAGCTCCCAAAGCGTATCGGCCATTGACGAGTACCACCAACACACGCTTCACATGCATCTCTCCTTCCGTCCTCCACATACGCTGCCGACACGATGAAAAGCACACCTCTGATTATCAATTGGCATGACCAGAACGCCCCAGTCTATTCCGCACATTTCGAGCAGTCAGGCAAGGGGCGGCTGGCTACGGCTGGAGGGGACAACAACGTCAGGGTACGTCAGCTACAAGCACAAGCAATTGACGAGGGGGCGGATTCCCCCCCCCCTTTCAATGGAACAACGGAGGCTGACCAAGGGCTTCTAGATATGGAAAGTCGAGGGCAACGGCGAGGATCGCAAGGTCGAGTACCTGTCCACCTTGTCCAAGCACACACAGGCAGTCAACGTCGTACGATGGTCACCCAAGGGTATGTTTTGCTCCGAGCTTGCTCCAATCTGCCTCTCTCAGCTAAGCAATCTGTTAACCAGGGGATATGCTCGCATCCGCGGGTGACGACGGCAATGTCATCCTCTGGGTGCCCGCCGAGCACCATGCCGGTCCAGCATTCGGCAACGAGGGCCTCGAGGACAAGGAGACATGGCGAACCAAACACATGTGCCGCTCGAGTGGCTCCGAGATATACGACTTGGCATGGTCGCCCGACGGTACATACTTTATCATCGGCAGCATGGACAACATCACGCGCATCTACAACGCCAGCTCCGGCGTCTTGATACGCCAAATCGCCGAGCATAGCCACTACGTGCAAGGCGTGACGTGGGACCCCTTGAACGAGTTCGTCGCCACACAGTCGTCAGATCGATCTGTTCACGTCTATTCTCTCAAAACGAAGGACGGACAGTACACTCTAAGCGGTTCACACGACGACAAACCATCCAAAATCGCGAGCCACAACAAGAGTGAACTGCCGCCACGGCGCATCTCATCCAGCAGTCCGGCGCCTCCCGAGTTCGGCTTCCGCTCCACCTACCTGGCCGTCGATGGCACTGCTGGCTCTCCCGTGCCATCTGCTCCCGGGACGCCGACCTCCATTGCGCTTCCCATGAACCCGCCCAGCGTCATCAGCCACAGCCGGCGATCTTCCTTCTCTTCCTCGGCAAGGAGGTCTCCCTCCCCCGCACCGTCCATGCCTCTGCCGGCTGTCATGCCGATGGAACCGTCTCCGAAGCCACATGCCTCTGCGAACCCGAGCCATGGTACCAAGAACGCCAGCCTGTATGCGAACGAGACGCTGACATCCTTCTTCCGGCGGTTGACCTTCACCCCCGACGGCAGCCTGCTCTTGACGCCCGCAGGGCAGTATCAAAGCCAGCACGTCGCCGACGCCAAATCTACCTACGAAGTCACGAACACAGTCTACATTTACAGCAGGGGCGGCATCAACAAGGCCCCGGTTGCCCATTTGCCAGGCCACAAGAAGCCGTCGGTGGTCGTCAAGTGCTCACCCATCTTTTACACCATGCGAACGGCGCCTGTAGTAACGAAAAACATCACCATTGACACGTCGTCGGCAGAAGAACCCATTCCGGCTTTGCCAGAGCCCGTTTCCAAACAGTCTCCTGGATCATCCGTCATGGACCCGCCGCCGCCACCTGGGTCATCCTCAGAACAGCAGGCATCGAGTGCGACACAGGTCAGGCCGAGCACGGAATGCCCTGTAGCAGCACCCGGGCCAAAGGCTGCCTTCGCCCTGCCTTATCGTATGATTTACGCCGTCGGCACACAAGACTCCGTTCTGCTCTATGATACGCAGCAACAGACGCCCATCTGTGTCGTCAGTAACCTTCACTTGGCGACGTTCACAGATTTGGCCTGGTGAGTGCACTCCTTGATAGGCTTTGTGTGTGAAAATTGCATGCTAACAGTGTGTAGGTCAAGTGACGGTCTGACGCTGCTCATCACTTCATCTGACGGATTTTGTTCCACTCTCTCATTTTCCCCTGGGGAGCTCGGCCAAGTCTATCAGGGCGAGGTGCCGACGGCGAAGAATCCTGTGCTAGGCGCCACTCCTTCATCAAACCAGAACACACCCGTGCCGACGCCTACCTCGGTCTTCGCTCCACCATCACCTTTCCCCAACAATGGTCTGCCACAACAGCAGCGGACTTCGGCGGGCGCAATGACAGCGCCATCCCCGCCGTCTCATGCAGGCTTTGCCAATCCTCCTCCTCAGTCACCCGCTCGGTCAAACTCGACATCGTCTGTCGCCACGCAATCGTCTGCGGCCCAGCCAGGGGTTACGACGAATCCGTCCCTGATCGTTGGCAGTATGCCCAGTATCACAGCGACCAACTCGGGTAAGATTACGGGGGTGCCACTGACGACGCCGCCCGAAACTCCCAGCACAGCTGCCACGCAGCCCAGTGGTGTCAAGCGGGAAGCCAGCGACGGGGACAAGGACGGAAGCCAGCCCAAGAAGAGACGAATCGCCCCCACGCTTGTTGAGGAGAAGAAGCCTTGAGCGAGACGCGCAAGTCCAGGACGGGTGTCGCTTGGGAGCATGTATAGTACATGTTGCGGGCAGTAGGTATACGAAGCAGGTCAAGGGCGGAACAAAAAGGTACAGGTCGTACATTTGTGGTACATTTGCGGCGTTCGTTTTTGATAACACGCGGCGTTAGGCGGACAAGGTAGGCAGGGAAGGAGGGACAGCTGTATAGCGACGGCGACCGCGTTTCCCCAACTTGGGTGTTTGCGCTTCAATGTGATACTGTTTTAATCGCATTGCCCTTGTTGGCGCATTACCATTGTGGGACATGGCTGTCGGACAGTTTTGCTCACCCGCTCGCTCTTCAAAACATACGTAGTCACTGCTGGCTGATTGCACCATCGGGTTCAACTACATCCATACGGCAGCAGCCATCTCCAAGCGCCGGGGCACCGAGGGCCATCTCTGGGGGTTTCCTCGATGGAGTTTCGTAGATTTGAGTGTCGTAGATTTATCCTTGGGCGCAATTTCAAACTTTCGTGCCATGGCGCTGCCTGTGTCGTCGTCGTGGGTGAGGCCAAAGCATTACGGGATGTGCGGGTAATGACCGATAGCTGGATGAATGCGGTGCTCAGGACAGAGGCCACATTGGTCTGTGCCGCTATTGCTGGCGGGTAAAAGGGCTTGTCGTCGTTTCATGTGGTTTCCGCCTTCAGGGCGACGTTGGGTTCAGTCTCGTCAGCGTATACGACAATGCGGTCCTCTCATGAGGACTGACGCGGTTTTCGATAAGAACTCCAATCGGTGCTAGGTCCATGCTAATGGCAAGAGAACGGTTCTTTGGATTGTATGTGCGTTTGTGTGTATGTACCTATCTACGTACGAATTCTCGAGCACGGGCGAACGGTAACGACGGCGAGAGAGGTTACCTCCCGGCGCTGGGTGTCTAGTTCAACCATACCACGTGATGCATTTCGGCCAGCAAGGGAACGAGACATTCGACAGGAACATCAAGAGATCAACGACTACCTATCTTGTACTTATAGAACGAACAAACGTCTGCGACTGTAGTAACTGACGTGTGGCACATAAATAAGCTATCAATTCATTACACTTGCAATGCTTGGTCTGTCTGCACACGTCCGGCTTTGTTGTATGCGCGGCGTGATATGGCATGACGGTTGTGCATAGGAATCATACTACTTTTCAAGCATCTGTTTTCCCGGACTATGGCTGGCGCTGAACTGAATGCCGCTCTATTCTGCACGTCTTGACATCAACCAACATGGCCACCAAACGCCCGCGCAGCCCAGGTCAAGCTCTCATTCCCAACCCTTTCATCAAGAAGCGAAACCTAGAATGGGCCCTCAACGTCCCCGAGGACGCCGCCCAAGCAACGCACCGCCAGGCAGCTGACGACAGCGATGACGACGACGCTGCTCAACCGCCCCCGCCAACAGCCGCAGCCATCGAATCCGGCAGCGCCACCATCGCCAACCACGCCGCACACTTCAGCGCCGTCCTCGCCGGCGCCGCCCTCGACCCCTGGCCCCGCGGCGCCCCGCGCCTGCCCACGGCCGCCTTCGCCGCCCTCTACGCGTCGTGCCTCGGGGCCCCGAGCGGCGCGCACTTTGTCGTCCACCAGCACGACCACCCCGTCGCGGGCACGCACTACGACCTGCGGCTGCAGATCAACGGGGCGAGCAGCGCGAGCTGGGCCGTCATGTACGGCCTGCCGGGCGACGCCGGCTCGGCCCGGCTCGGCCGCAACGCAACCGAGACGCGCGTGCACTGTCTGTGGAACCACCTCGTCGAGACGGCGTCGCGGGCCACGGGGTCGCTGCTTGTCTGGGACACGGGCACGTATGAGGTGCTCGGGCGGCGGTCCAAGTCTGCGCCCGAGGTTGATCCTGAGTCGGAGCGAAGCGAGGACGAGGCCGAGGCCGAGGATGGCAGGACGGAGCAGGAGAAACTTCGGGATGCCTTTGCCGAGAGGAAGATTCGGGTCCGGCTGCACGGCGCAAGGCTGCCGAGGGGCTATACGCTCAATTTGCGGCTGACGAAGGAAGAAGATCGGGAGGGGAGGGAGAAGGCTAGCAGGTCAGCCAGCAGAGCGGCTCCGCAGAGGAGGAGGCGAAGGATGGTTCAAAAACAGGACGTCATCGTTGAGACGAGCGAGGAGGCCGATTCGTCGTCTTCCGAGAAAGAGGAGGAGGAGGAGCTGGACGATGCCGTGCTCGAAGCAAAAGAGGAAGTCCCGGAGGAGGAGTCGAACCCCCTGGCAGGCCCGGCCAATATGTCACAGGCTATGCGTCAGGAAATTGAGGAACTGGAAGACGCTCAAGTCCGCGCCACGAACGCCTACCCCGGCGCAGAGAACACCATCGGCAGCGTCCACCAGCGTAGGTGGTACCTCTCCATGGACCGAGCGGCGAGCGGCTTCGTCAAGAAAAGGAGAGGGGGTGGGGCGAAGAAGCTACGCTGGGAGTTAGAAGATGAGCAAACCCCGGGTGAAGACGGACGTCTGACATACCCCTTTCATGTCCGCGGACCCGAAGTCGAGCGTAGTCTCATCACGGGCCGTCTCGGTAGTGACGTCCTCCGTGACGAGGGCGTCGTGGACTTCGTAGGCCGCAAGGGGTGGCGGCCCGTACTGCGTTGAGCTTGTAAATGGCAGGACCCTTGAAAGGCAGGTCGACGATACTGATATCAACCAAGGTTGACAGCAACGCTGCAATGACAGTACTTCATTCGGCGGGATTCGACTGCATACACATCATTTTTCTGTCTGAACCATCATTTGTAGCTTACTACAAACACAACTCGACACTCTTTGAACAAGTTGTTGTACATACTCGTAAGCCTCTTGGCCATTTTCTATTTGTATCGAGTCCTCTACTTCTATACAACTTTTACATCTCGGCGTCCCTTGTGTTCCTAAAGGATACTGGACATTCTCAATTGCCACATCAGTCATAACACGTGTTCATACATCATCCTGCGTAGGCGGAAGCACCAGCGCCCTCCGCCCCTTGACATCCACCACTCCCTCTTTTCCGCCATACACGTACCGTACCTGCAGCACCTTGGCGGTCCCGGGCGCGGGGTCCCAGAACCCAAGCACTCCGCTCTTCCTCACGCCTGCGGGGATGACGAGACGTCCTTGACTGTCAATAAGTGCCGCCGTCGCGACTGTCACATTTGCGACTTTTCCAGCGCTCCACAAACTGCCGCTGCCGTCTTCCAGCGCAGACTGGACGCCATACTTAGCATCTAGAATCACGAGACCATTTATCTCACGCCGACGCTGCTGCTTGGCCTCAACGGGGCCCGTCAGCAGTGCTGCAACCTCCTCAGCCTCGGCCCGTTTCCTCGCCATGCGTGATTCGATCCTTTCTGTTTTGCTCGTCCCGGACACTTCTGCTTTGGAGGCTGGGCGCTTGGTCGATACGTACTGCATCCCGGCCATGGTGAGGAAGGGCAGCAAAGCAGCCCAGAAAACAACACCCACAGATGCCGTTGTGCCTGGCGATGAGAGAAGCAGAGGAAGACTGAACCGGTGCTTGAGGCGAGACCAGTACAGCGATAGGTGGATAGCGTGACTGCCAACGCCAGCCTCAAGTCCAAGTTTAGCATGGACGCCCACGCGCCACAGATTTCGAACGGCAAGATGCCGCTCGAACATTGAGTTGGAAGCAAGCTCGATCTCAATGCGGCTGTTGGTACCGGAAAACGAGCTGCCCAAGCCAGAGACATCCCGACTGTAGCGGAGGGACCCCGTGGCTGTACTCGAAGTCAATGACGCATGTGCAGACCAGGACCCGTCCTCTGGGCCGTCCGTTTCGTGGTCTAGTCCGTATATACCTCCACTGATCAGCTGTGGATCATAGCGTCCGAGAGCTGTCAAGGGCCGCACAGAAGCCGTGGCAAATCCAAGCTCAAGTGTGGGTGTTGAAACAAGAGAGAGCCCGACACTAGGATCACCCCCTTCAACCCGGTTCTGGTTCGCTGAAAGGGTGCCAATCATGTCTCCTCGCCAACCATCGCTGCCGGCACTGATATAGGCAAGGCCGTTCCCCACTGAATAGCTTAGCCCGGCGGCGGCCTGAGAGAGGGTTTGGGAGGCTATGCGTGAGGACTGCGTATTCACTTCGATGGTTAGAGGTTTCTTGCCGACAGCCACCTCATGCGAGAGACGAGTGCCTAGCCTCCGTCCCAAAGGGTCACAGTAGAACTGAACAAACGACTTCAGAACCCCACCATCTGCGGTCCGGCGGAGAAAGTCCTGATGCAAATCGAAGTTGACGCCCGGGGAAAAGGCACGTGGGGGCAGACGTTGGAGCTTGGGGCTTGGTGTTCGAGGCGTGTGCAAGGGGTGGATTAGGTCGGGCAGGTTAGTGGGGATGGCTACCACATCGAAAAGACCGTAAGCTGAGCCCGATAGGGTCAGCTCCGGTGCAGGAAGGTAAAGGTTCGGGGCTGCCGTCAGCTCGGTAAGCGCGCCAGTGGCCCGCGCGTGTGATGCTAATCGTCGGCCGTCGACAAGACTCATCAAGAAGCGGCCGAAGTGAGGGAGAGCAGTTGTCACTGACTGGCTGAGTGCAAAGTCGAGCGGCTGTAAGAGAACATTTCGGTTCCCTAGTTGGCGCGCACCCTGGACCAAAGGAGAAGCATCGAGACGCAGGGTCACGGCCGACGATTCCAAGTCTCGGCACCGGGCGAGCCATTGGTGGTGTACCAGGGCGTCTTCGTAAAGCTCCTCAGAATTCTCCTTTTGGGAGTCGTCATCTGTGATAAGCCAGGCTCGCGACCTCATATCGTAATGAACTCGCCTCGCCGGGTCGATGAGTGTCTCAAAGGCATGCTGCGCCTCGTTCAGATAGGCCGTCGCCAGAGGGCTCAAGTTCTCCGGGTAGGTGTCGTCGAGGAGCAGAGCCAGCAACGTCCAATATGCCCGTCGAATGCGGCGTGGGGTGAGCAAGGGGTCTCGAGGCAGACAGAGAAGGTCGTAATAGTCGCCCGATGAGCCACTCTCGTCGTCGTCCTCACTGTGTTCGATGACCGTCTGACCAGGCCCGTCGACCTGGCCCAGATCCAGGTTCAGACCACCAACGGCGACGAACTTGTCACCGGCTACGTCACCGGCCTCGGATGCAACTGTGGCTCTCTCAAAGATGGAGGACGCATCATCGTCAAAGTCGAATTCGCTTCTCGTGGCGGCAAAATCGCCAAGGGAGAAGCGCGAGCTGACGGAGCGAAGCGCGTGGGGGTGCAGGTGGGAGGGATAGTCATCGTAGGCCACGGATGAGCGAGCCGATGGGACACGCATCGAAGGTCGGCTTCTCCGGGATGCGGTGCTGCGATTGCTGAGGCTGCCATAGTTGGGCCGATTAGGTGAGTCAGCCATGTTGCATTGGTGCGAATGCGAGGCCGGGGAAAAGAGGAAGAGGCAGGGCACAAGGAGAGACGGAAGGTAGAGGCGGCAACGCTGACGGGGTCCGATGATGATACGTGACGATGGCAAGATGATGGTGGGTGAGACGAAGACAAGCGGTCGGGTGGTTGTAGGGCAGGATGTGAAGATCTAGAGGTGACCTTGA